CCAACGTTTTAGCGATGGAACGATGCGAGAGATCCTTGTTCTCGTGATGAATGCGCATGATTTTATCACGCACGAGCTGTTCTTTCGACTCCATTTCCGCGAGTTTTGATCACAGGACTTTAAAACTTGCAGGATGTAAATAATGCACTATGAACTAAATCCACCCAAATTTTCATTAAATTCTACCCAACGGTTAAAAAGTTAGATCAATTTCATAGTGTGGCAATTTCATCGTGGACACCCTTTAGTCTTAGAGTTACCTCTATGCTAGTACCATAGAGGTAACTCTAAGACCAGAAGGTCCCGAAGAAACGAGCTCAACTTTTTGGCCCAGCTCTGGTACTATCTTCGGTCCCAAGCTAATCGATGCACCCCTCGAATCATAGGAAAATCCATGAACCTCTCATTTTATCTGTCAAACTTTCATAGCGAATCTAAACAAACATAGTGCAGTGCTAGAATTTCGACTAGAATGGGGTACGTTAATCGATTTGCTTCGGACCAATAGGCTAGTCAAGTAGTGACCAATTTTAAATCGTTAGTTTCCACTTGTTTGTAACTCTATGTCACTAGTGAGGTGACAAAAGTCAGGCCGTGGTTACGTGACTCTTCATTTGATTTGCACGGAGAGTCATCTGTCATCTCACTAATGAAAGAAATTCACTTCGACTCTCGGAATAACCACCTCTGTTTCAAGCATGGAGTACCGTTGGGGACCGACATCCGTACACCTAATACAAAAAGTAGGCGGTTTTGTATATGGCTAGGTATATGGCGTACCGATTTCGATTAATTTCTTAAGCGGGACCTACAATCCAGCTTTCCATGCTCGGTAATGGCGGCCTGTTTGTATGAATAATTGTATACTTCATTGTGATTTTTTGACACTATCTGGATGTACGAATTTCGACCCCTCCCTTTCCCTCTCCCAGGAACAGAAGAAAATGGAACAACATACGCCCTCCAGTTAGTGTCAAAAAGCACAGTGAAGGATACGGGGCTTATTACGGATGTCACTTCACGGTGAAAACTTGTCACTTGTCGTCACGGTGAAGTGATTCCCATTTGATTTGTACGGCAATCACGGCTCTTATTCTCAATATCACTTCCTTATCACCATGTAGTGACCCCCGTAATAAGGGCCTACATTTATTCATACAAACAGGCCGCCATTACCCAGCATGGAAAGCTGGATACTGCGTCACCATCAGCATTGACGAGGGGGTTTGTCCATTGAGGTTCGTCAAATGACAGGTGTAACGCATTTCAACTTGCTTTTCCATCGACATCTCTACTTGAAGACTTTACAGGTGTACGTGTACGGATTTCGGTCCCGCACGGTAAAAAAAATACCTTTTCTCGCGAAACATTTCAAAGGGAGTTGGTTGGAAATGCTAACATGAAGCTTTAGTTTGATAATTTATTAGCTAGAGAATGATCTTTAGAAGAGAATAGGTGGATAGTTCCGTTAGAGTACGGCAGTATGAAAATGGAATAGAAGTTGAAAATGAGCGAAGGGCCATTAATGCGACAGTTTTTAAAGTTCGAAGCACATCTTTTGCCTAACCCGTACGATGTACGCGGAGACTTGAAGTATGTCTTCAAGTCTACAGGCAAAAGATGTGCGTCCCCCTTTTGCTCATAACTGACTGCGGCTGTGGAATAGTTCTAGCGACGTTTCATCACTACCTAAAGCCCCACGTTTGCGAGAGCATTTCCAGTCGATGGTGTGTTATAATGCAATTCTTCTTTACCCAACTATTGTGTTGCTCCTGCTAACTTCGCGTATGAAGTAACATAAAAACACTTTGAATGTAACAACTCAAGGCGGGAGTAGCCGTCAACAATGCTGATGATGGTACAGCACGCAACAACCACCCTAATACTGCTTTCTCTCTGAGATGACCAATTTGGTCATGACGAGAGGAGCAACACAATAGTTGGGTAAAGAAGAATTGCATTATAACACACCATCGACTGGAAATGCTCTCGCAAACGTGGGGCTTTAGGTAGTGATGAAATGTCGCTAGAACTATTCCACAGCCGCAGTCAGTTATGAGCAAAAGGAGGACGCACATCTTTTGCCTGTAGACTTGAAGACATACTTCAAGTCTCCGCGTACATCGTACGGGTTAGGCAAAAGATGTGCGTCTGACTTTAAAAACTGTCGCATTAATAGGCCTCGCTCATTTTCAACTTCTATTCAATTTTCATACTGCCGTACTCTAAAGGGCCACCCACATTAGATCCGTTTGCGTTGCGTTGACGTAAATTTGACAGTTAGACAATAGATTTAGCTGTCACTTTGCCGCAACGCGTCCGATCCGGATCTAATGTGCGTGGGCCTTAACGGAACTATTCACCTATTATCTTCTAAAGATCATTCTCTAGCTAATATCACCTAAAGCTTCATGTTAGCTTTTCCAACAAACTCTGAAAATCGCTAACTTCGTAACATAAAAACACTTTGAATGATTTGAAAAGGGCCTTCCTCGCTGATCGATTCTCTTCATCGACATTCTCTTTGACTTACCACCACCGACGAACCGACACGCCACTGGAGCATTTCGTTTGTCCGCAATTCAATTTGACAAATGAGCGATTCAATCTGTCAAACGGGCGATCATATCTGTCAAATGAGGTGAGACGCAAACCAAGTCAATATAAATTTTACGTATGTTCGGGTCCTTGCTCATGATATGACGCGATCTTATGAAAAGATGGCGGTAGTGTTGGCAAATTTGATCGGAATGACGTCTGAGCAGTGCTGCAAAATCTCGACAATACACGGCGAAAATCAAAATTCTGGTTTGGTCACTCATTTGAGCTAGCAGTCATCGTCAAGGCAAACCATGTCAATTGTCAGTGGCAAACATGTGCAGATTTGTTCATTAGCTAAATTTGAAACGAAATTAAACGGCTCGAGCAAAACAATTACATGGAGCCCTTAAAGTGAGCAAGCATTTACGTCCTGAGAACTGCTTGGATAACAATAATGTGGCTCAGAATGCACGAAATTACACTTTTTTGTTACCAGGTGAATCTTTGTCATTGACGAAAAAATTAATGAGATTTTGACAAAGGTTTTTTTGATGATGAAAGACTTAGTGACTATGTGAAAAACAATTTTGTCAATATCGTGCGAAAGTCTGTCAAGGACCAATGACAAATCTCAGCACTGCGTCTGAGGCAAAGAGAAAAATAATGTTTTTTTCTGGGAAAAATTTAAAAAAATATTGTAAAAACTTACATATCTCAAAATGTTCTGGTCCGATTTTTGATGGGTTTTTAAAGAAAGCTCAGGAACATTTCAAATGTTTAAAATTATGGACACTAAAAAATTGACAAAATCGTAGAACAAGAACTTTTATTAATTTTCTTGTTAAAACTTCTTTTTTATGTAATGTATACTCAGAAAACAATGTTTGGAACATTTTAAATATTATTTTGTGAAAAAATACACAAAAAGCGTACTAAAAATTAAAAATTTGAAGAAAAGTATTTGTTCTACGATTTTTGTCAGTTTTCAAGTGTCCGTGATCATTTAAAAAATTGTATTTTTGATGAGCTTTTTTTTTAAACAAATTGAAAAAATCGGACATTTTGAGATATTTGGGTTTTTAACATTCTTTTTTGCATTTTTACTCAAAACATGTTTTGCTTATTTTCTCAGAAAGGCATTTATTTGTCTCTACAACTTTGTCTCAGACGTATTTTTTTTTAATTTTCAAAGATGCCATTTTGAAAAAAATTACAAGATCCAAAGTAACCAAATTTGAGCAAAAATGTGAATCATTGCCCACAACAAACAATTACGCAAAGTTTCATACAAATCGGAGAAGATCGATTCGAATATTCATTATGTTTACGCAATTTTGCCCGGAACTGACCTAAAATCAATTCTGTGGAAATCATTCCCTACAATCTAACAAAACAATAAATAAGCTGGATGTCAAAGCGCAGTAGTACCGGAAGCCGCGAACCGGATTCCATCGATTGGATAGAGGAAGATCGTCGAAGAGTAGGGTTAGGAAAAGAGAATATGTTTTCAAAACTGAGAGAATCGATTTTTTTTGCTGTGTTCCTCAAGAGCCGTTTGTTTTTCACGGTAATCGAAATCGAAATTTACAGACGAAAATGGTCAAACAGATTTGGCATTCCCAAACAGAGTGGATATTTTATATGCTATATTCTCTTTTCCTTGCGTCCTCTACTAACCTTCCTCTCTAGGTTTTTTTTTGTTTTATCAAGGGACTTGTCGGATCTTTCTTTTCTGTTTAATTGGGCAAAAACAAAACCAACATAATAACGAAAAACAAACTTTTCTCTTTGTGATTTGTTAAGAATAATTACGTTTTTATTTTTGTATTCCTCAATTTTTAAAATTACTATTTCCAGTATAGGTTTATTCCTTGTCTTCTGTTGATGGCGCTTTTTCTCACGCACATTTCTTCTTGTCGGTAGATTTCGTTACTGGATATTCTTGATTTCTAGCTTTTTTTGTTTGCTTACTCTCCTTTATGTATATATAAGTTTGTGTATGTAATACCGATATTACCAGTTGAATGAGATTTTTGTTCCGTTCCATCATTCTGTCCTTATTTTTCCTAATACCGAGCGGTCGCATTTTTGTATGTTTTTTTTTATAGAGAGTGCCAATTATTTAATGTTTTTTTTATAGAGAACAATAATACGATTAGGTTGTTTCGGTGCCAGCCAATTTGGTACACTCATTTTTCGCTAACGAACACACCGGTTTTGGAAACATTCATAGTGATTTTTCATAATTACAAATCTAAGTCTGTGTTCGTGTGTTTTTGTTGTTGATGTTGTTGTAGGCTGTTGTCCCTTCCCACGAATATTCGCTCAATGTCCTGCTGCTATTTATATATATACTCTAAACGTGTGACTTAATTGATTTACTTTTATCCTCTTAAATGCTATTACTCTATTTAATTGCATCATACGATGGAGAGATTGTGTGTTCAATTGTGTTGCAGTTCTGTCAAGAAGGATATTCTTTTCGGAATCGGAATCGCCATTACCCGCCTGCGTGTACTAGAACATTGCTTCTGCTCAGTCGATTCCGAATTGGCTCGTGCCATCGATGATTTTGCGACAATTTCCGTAAATCAAAATTACAGCAACGAACTTCGTTTTCGCAAAAAATGATTTCCCAGTCACATTGTAGCATAATCATTGTAGCGCTTTCGTGGAAAAAAAAAAGATTCGTTGGCAATGTGGAAGAAATTAAATAGTACAACCAAACCGTATATGCGTATCGTTCTTTTATTCTCGAACACAGATTGTAGCATTTGTTTGGACTTACGAAACATGTTTAGATTTCCAATATCTAAAAACTCTCTTTTCCTGTCGTCGTCAAACCTAGCCGCTAAATGGTACACATTTTAAACAGATGCGGTATTAGTTAGTAGTAGTTTACACTCTCTATCTTAGATAAATAAGAGAACACAGTGTTCTTCTTCCTAGCAGCCCGAATATGAAACTATCCATAAATTGAATAAAACTAATTCTACACCGTACAAACAAAATATTTTGCAAGAACTATCTCAGTAAGTCAAGATTCCTAAAAGTCGTTAGTATGCTGTAATTTGTTGTTTTGAAGGAATGCCAAAAATGTTGACCAGATTCTGTTCGCGCGTTTCGATCAGTGTGCTCGGTCCTTTTTTATTTTCTTCGTCAACAGAGCGTAGAGAAAGCAGGGGGCTTGCTTTCCGGTAAATGCAGCTGGCGGAGTTGCTTGAAAACACGACACATTCAAACCTGAATGTTCTGCTACGGCCACGCCTAATGCGAGAAATAGTTGATATCCCATGCACTTGTCTTACTTTCTTTGCATTCACTACCAGGGATAGTAACGCTCCGTTTTAAATTTTGAATACTCTCATTGGATTATACGTTGATTCGATAATACTAAATACTCGATTGGTTGACGGTGACTCTCTGGCGGGTTGTGTCAAGTGTTTTAAAACATTATTCTTCTCTCCTCTGGTTGTTGCTTTTTTTTGTAAACAGATTCTCTTTTGCTTCACCTCTCGACTCTGATTATGATTCGAATATAGCTAAAAGTTACTTTTGCCCTATTGACTATAAAGTGTACTGTTGTTGTTTTTTGTTATTTTTTTTTATCTGCATATTGTAGTAGTAATTTTTCTTTTAACCAACTACTTGTTCTGGTTTCTAAAACGCAGGATGTGCATCGCAATGGATTTACGAAAGCCTAGAAATATATAGAAAATATGTTAGTTCAGTCCGACGGTATGGAGGAGGTGCAGGGCTTCTTAGCGATGTTTCGGATACTGTACGAAGCTATTAGCCGAAATGACGATACAAGCTGATTCATAGTTGGTGATTAACAAATGAAGATTGTAATGGAAGGAATCATCCATAAAACGTAGCATATTTTAGACACATTTTAGACCCCCCTTCTCCCTCGTAGCATATTTTGCTATACCTAATCAGGGTGTCGACTCAGTGAAGAAAACAAATTTCCCTGATATTCCTGATTCCCTGAAAATCCAGGTGCAGTGCTTACCTTGGTGATCGTCAATTGCTTCTCTGTGCAGTGTACATTCCTCCAGATCGAACCCGTGACTTGGAGCTTATTGACGCACATTGTCGATCCGTCTTGGCCGCTTCAGACAAAGCAGGCCCTTCCGACGAAGTTATTGTTCTTGGCGATTTTAACCTACCGGACATTGCATGGACTCCAACCCATAGTGGTTTCTTTTGTCCTGATCACGAGCGTTCATCTTTCCACGTAGGAACCATCCAGCTCCTGGACAGTTATAGTACCGCAATTCTGTCACAAATCAATGGCCTGTTGAATGAAAACAACCGCACCCTGGATCTCTGCTTTGTGAGTGCTCGTGATACAGCTCCTTTCCTCTCCACGGCACCCGAACCTTTAGTCAAGGTAGTGCATCATCACCCTGCTTTAGTTATCGTGATCGAAAATAATATTGTCCATGATTTCACCAGCACTCCAAACGCTGTGTCATATGACTTCCGTAGAGCTGACCATTGCAGTATCGTCCATGTGCTGTCTAATCTAGATTGGGAGCATATTCTAGATCCTGTAGACGTCAACATTGCTGCACAAACCTTTTCTCACGTCTTGGCATATGTCATTGACAGACACGTTTCCAAAAAGATCATCCATATCGACTCTCGCGTCCCGTGGATGACGAAAGATCTTCGCTCGTTGAAAAGAACTAAGAAGGCTGCTCTCAGAAGATTTACTAAACTCCGCACACTGCCACTGAAATGCTACTATGTCAGACTCAACCACGAGTATAAGCGGTTAAGTCGTCTCTGTTTTCAACGCTATCAAAGGAGGATTCAACGGCGGCTAAAATCACACCCGAAATCCTTCTGGAACTTCGTAAATGAGCAACGCAGGGAAGTCGGCTTACCCTCTTCCATGATTTTTAATGGTGAAACTGCTGGAAATCAACAAGACATTTGCAACCTGTTCTCAGCCAAATTTGCTAGTGTGTTTGTAGCCGAGCAACTCTCCGCTAATATCATTACTTCCGCGGCCAGTAATGTTCCTTTGATCAACCAAACGCTCAGCATGGTCGAAGCCACTACAGATACGATTTCTAGAGCAGCATCTAAACTTAAGACTTCAACTAAGGCTGGACCCGATGGTGTTCCGTCGATTATTCTTAAAAAGAACATCACTTGTCTTTTAGATCCACTGCGCCGCATATTCCAGCTCTCTCTTTCCAGCGGCATCTTTCCGTCTTGCTGGAAGACTGCGGATATGTTTCCTGTTCATAAAAAGGGAAGCAAACGCGACGTAAACAACTACCGAGGAATCACATCGCTGAGTGCTGTATCAAAACTTTTTGAATTGGTTGTCATAGAGTCCCTAAATGCGCATTGCAGGCAATATCTAAGTACAGATCAACACGGATTCATAACTGGGCGTTCCACAACTACGAACCTGCTGTGCCTAACGTCTTACATCACAGACAGTTTGATTGCTCGGACCCAAACGGACGTTATCTACACAGATCTTACGGCAGCCTTCGATAAGCTGAACCACGAAATTGCGATCGCTAAGCTTGATAGACTAGGGATCGGTGGAAATCTTTTGAGATGGTTTCGTTCATACCTCACGGAGCGCCAATTGACAGTAACTTTGGGTACTTGTCGCTCAGCAAGCTTCTGCGCAAAGTCCGGTATACCTCAGGGCAGCCATCTGGGACCATTGGTATTTCTCCTCTACTTCGACGACGTTCACCATGTTATCACAGAGCCACGATTATCGTTTGCAGACGATCTGAAAGTTTTTCTGCGCATCAGCTCACTCGCCGACTGCCGTTCTCTCCAAAATCAGATTGACATCTTTGCTGACTGGTGTAGTCTAAACCGACTGGTGGTCAACCCAGCTAAGTGTACAGTTATTACTTTCTCACGCAAGAAACAACCGATTATTTTCAACTACAAACTACTAGGCACGACTATCGAACGGGTGCACTGCGTGAAAGACTTAGGCGTTTTTCTAGACTCAAAGCTGACATACTCACACCATATATCGTATGTCGTCGACAAAGCGTCCAGAACTCTTGGTTTTGTCTTCAAGATTACTAAGAACTTCACAGACATTTACTGCTTGAAATCGCTCAATTGCTCTTTCGTATGATCTACGTTGGAATACTGCTCTGCAGTCTGGAGCCCGAACTACAATAATGGGGCCGAGCGAATTTAATCTGTGCAACGACGTTTTCTTCGGTTCGCGCACTACCTTGGAGATACCCACTTCGTCTTCCAAGCTACGAGAATCGCTGCCAATTGATCAATGTCGAGCCCTTACGTATCCGAAGAGATGTTTTCAGAGCCTTAACCGTCGCCGATACTCTGCAAGGAAGAATCGACTGCGAAGCAATTCTGCAACAAGTGAAAATTAATGTTCAACCTCGATCACTACGCAACAGTCTTATGCCACTTCTTCGAACCAGTTATAGCCTAGGGAGCGCAATTTACGGCTTGTAGCGAGTGTTCAGCCGAGTAGCGTCGATGTTCGATTGTCACTTGACACGGAATATGCTTCGCCGAAGACTCTCTGCCTTTTTATAAGACTTATACATTTTTAGTAACTTGACAATGCTTTCCTAGTTATTTTCGTACTTTTTTTTACAACACATCACAACACAGACTATTTGATGCAAACATACAAATAAACAAAAATAAAGAACAACAAATTTCAACAACTGAGTGAAAAGCTATTAACAAATTAGCAGTTGATGTGTACAACGATGCATGCCAAGCATGGAAGAAACCGCCAACGCCAGGTATACAGTGGGCCATTTCTAAGACAGCAGCAGCGAAGTCTTCGCTCAAAGATTAGAGGCTTTTATTTGATTGAGAGGTATTTTCAGAATTCTTCTAAAATAAAGTTGAAATTCTCTCTGGAAGTCCCTTGAAATATTCTTTATAACAGTCCAGAAATTCACTGTAGAACACTCAAAAAAATTATTGAAATTCGGCCTTTGATTCTCTTCGAATTTTAAACTCTCTACAAGAATTCACTAGAGCTTCATTTTTTTTAAATCTGCTTGAAATTCTCCGTAGCACTCAGATTCTCGACCAAAACTTGTAATCCCCCATTCCCTGCCAACACTATCGGGCAGGGTAAATTCTTCCGTCGAGAAATGTCTTCAAATTGTGCTCAAAATAATCATGGAGCTCTCATCTAAATTCATTCTGGAAACTGCATTGGAAATCTCCTTAAAATTCTCTAGAAATTCCACTCGAAATGCGCAAAATTATTCTGGAATTGTACCCTCAAAATTCGCTTTCCTTGGTGTTCACGAATCCTGCAATCCTCTTGGAAGTTCTAGTAAAAACTCTCTTAGAGGTTTTCCTAAAGGTCCCTAGAAAATATTCTCAGAAATACTCTCTAGAAATCATTCTAAAATCCGCTCAAATGCTAATATGCTGTGACTGTATCCTGAAATTCTAGTCCAGTCCAAAAATCTTATTGTTTTCGAAGAGAGGACGAGGATTTGATTTTCCAGATTTGTCTTTCGGTTTTTTCTCGGTGACTTCAAATTCCCAGCTTTTTTCCGATTTTCGCGGTTCACTGGTCACTCTGCATTTTACATATGAACCACTTGTTTTTAATCCCATTAGCACATTTTAAGACCCAACTCCACAAATACGCGGGAAATCGTAAAAACAGCGCTTTCACCTCCAACATTCTGTAAGTTAATTCCATCTAAATTGCAATATCAGCAACATTACAATACTAAAACTTCCCTGAGAAGCTAATTTTACGAGCTAGCCAGGTTTCCAACGAAGACCTAGAATACTCGATGCTGTCAAGGCAATGCTTATCTACGTATTTGATTTTGCGTCAACGTGTTCCGTCGTCAATACTTGCATCAATATGGTTGACAATACTTTTGAGAATTGATAATATTTTTGCCCGTATGGTGACGGGCCTAAGATCTTACCTTCGACCCCGGCGTCCCTTCTTGCCCACACCGCCCGAGTAGCCTGCCTCCGGCGTGACTGGTGTCTGTGGTTTGTCTGCGCCTCGCCTACGCGTTGACCGCGAGCCCTTCTCCGCGCTTGCTGCACCCGATGCTTCTTCTGGTGTTTGCATAACCGGTGTGTTTGCTCCCCGGGGCGACTGCATCGAGGTGTTCTTCTCGTCAGCGGCTTCGGCCGCTTTGCATGCCTTGTTGATGTACTTGGCTTGCTCATCGGTGAGATACATATCGGAGGCCGTCACTTCGACGGTTCCGGTGGCGATTTGTACGCTATAGACCACTTCGTCGGATTCGTTTCGCTTTAGTTCCTGTACGATACCCGGTTCGTACGTATCACCACCGGTGAGGGCATGGATCGAATGGCCCATGATAGGCAGGGTATCCATGTCGCCAAATACGATCACGTCCTTGGAGAGCGCCTTGGAAGCACCGTCCTCAAACACGACCATGAATTTGTTGTCTCCCTTGTATCCCGTAACCCTTCCAGCGTAGTACTTCCGATCAGTCCACCGCGCCAAACAGCACTGTTCGTCTTCTTTCTTGGCGGGGGGTTCAGCGGTTCCGGTTGTTTCTGATGGTGAGCTGCTTTCTACCTTTGATCCCTTCTTTGCCTGTTTGGCCGCTTGTTTAGATTTAGACAGTTCTTCCTCAGTTGCATCCGAGTCAGTACGTGATCGCTTCTGACCTCGTGCGGAGGGAGTTGCTGCTTTTTTGGCAACTGATCCTGGTCGTCCTTTTGGCGTCTTCATCGGTGTCTCCGGCTCATTATCGGATACTTCATCGTCCTTGCTCAATGCCCGCTTGATCTTAGTGAACTCTTCGATCATTAGAGTCGCCAGCGCCTTGGCGCCCCGTACAGTGTGCTTCATTTTCGGCAGCGAGGGCTTCAGTTGACTGGTTCCGGAGGAGGTTTCCGTGGCGGTGGAATGCGACATAGCCGAATCGGCTGCAGGACGTGCTGGAGGAAGAGAGAACGGACCTAAGCTGCCGACGCTCCCATTGGAGGACTGTTTGGAGGAATCGATTCCAGTTAGATCCTGCGTTGAACCTGCCGTTGCACCCGAAGTTGATGATTTGTTTTCCAGTTTCTCAATGGATAAGAACTGCAGTTCGGTTCCATCAAACCAAACACTGACTTCGTAAAGTGTCTCCTCGGACGTGAGGGTCGGTGTAAGATCCAACTTGTTGACCACCGTTGAGGGAGCGTCTGTCGTGGAAACATTAGTCGGAGTGATGGTAGATTTATCCTCCAGTTCAGAACCGGAAGTGGAAGAAATGCCATTGAACTTCCGAGCGTTGGTGGCATACATGTTGATTTCATCGGCCGTGTTGAGAGCGGATGAAGCTGAAAATAGCGTTTGAAATTATAGTCTGCTGTACAAACATAAAAAAACATGAACTCACCTGTGCACGAATCAACCTCCGAGGATTCTGTTTTCAAGCTGCTTCCGTCTTTGATGGTAACGCTTGTATCATCACTTGTATCGGTCACTAGCTGTTTCTTGACTTCTGCGGGAGGCTTCGAAACACCGGAAGTAGAAGCAACGGCTGCCTCCTTTTCTTCCGAAATGGAGGACTGATCACCCACTGTAATAGCGCTGTGTTCCTCGTCCGCCTGGTGGCTGTTGTCCACCGAATTCCGGGAGATTTTGCTGACATTTTCCGAGCTGATTTCGAACTGTTTCTGGATGGGAGTGGAGTTGTAAACGTTGCTAGAGCTAACGGCGGCATTTGGCGTGCTGCTGCCGTTGGAAATGAGATCCAACCGTTGCTTTAACCGATCGGCCATTTTGTCCGAGCTGGAAGTCGGCAAGGAACATTCGATACTGTCATCCAATGTTTTTGAAGCATCCGCTTTGGAATCTTCTGTAGCACCTTCCGTGGCATCCATGTTTTTGTTGTGTTCGGAAACGGTGGCTGCTGTTTCACTCTGACTGTCGGCTGCCGTGGCAGTGTCATCCTTGGCCATGGATACAATCAGCTCTTCGCTGGTAGTGTTCATACTTTCCGTGACATCCGGATCCGGTTTGCTCTGAGTTGGAGCTGCGGAATCAACTTCCATCTTTTCCTCTTCCTGTTCAGCTGCTTTCGGAACCGATTCTTGTACAGGAACTGGTGCAGAAGCCGATTCAGGAACAGCTTCCACCGCTACTTCCTGTGGTTTTGCCGCGGAAGCTTTTTCTGCGCTTTCCTCAGTGCATTCATAGGCTTCCTTCTTGGTGCATGGTGGTTCTGAAACTTCTTTCTTAGATGATGTTTCGGCAACAGGTTCGCTGTCGACTTCCATAGGTTCATCATCATTAGCTGGTTCGGAAGCAGCGACGGGGGCCTTTTCGGGTGTGGAATCAACTTCCTGAGATATAGCAGCCTCTTTAGGAGGTTTCTCGTCTGAACTTGTAACAGTCTCTGTCTCGCAGGGCTTCTCCGCTGGTTGTTCGACAGCAGCAGCAGTAGCAGCAGAATCAACTTCGGTTGAAGAGGGAACGGCTTGTTCTTCTTTCTTTTCGGAAGAGGAGCTAATGGCATCATCGGTCTTTTCTTCCACCACAGCTGGCGAGGAACTGGTTGGCTGTTCTTCTTGTGAAGATTCGGTGTTAGGTTCCGTATCTGGAAGTTCCTTGGATTTGGGTACAGCTTCCGGAGCTGGTTGTTCGGGTGGCGATTCTGGTTGTGCTTTCTCTTCCTGAGTAGGTTTAGGAACATCTTCAACTGGTTGCGATGGAGCCGGTTCTTCTTCAACTGGCTTGGTTTTCTCCGATTCTCTACAAATAAAGCGTTAGTCATTAATACAATTCAATTTGCATCCCTGTAACAGGTAACTTACTTAACATCCTCAGCCTTTTTGGGTGCAGCAGGCTTTTGCACTTCGACAACAAGTTCTTCAACCTTTTCTTCACTTGGCTTCTTCTCTGCAACATCTTCGACCTTCTCCTCAACCTTAGTTTCCTTTTCTACTGTTTTTAACTGTTCTTCCACCGGTTTTGAATCAACTTTACTTTCCGCTTCGGCAGCAGCAGGTTTTGGTTCAGTAACAGCTTTCGAGGACTCTGCAGTTTCTACGACAGCAGGCGTCGAATCTTCTTCTTCCTTCTGTTCAGAAACTGATACATCTTCATCATCCTTAGCGGGTTGCTCGCTTGGTTTACCAACTTCCATCGGTGCTTCAGGTTCTTTGACTTCCTTTTCTTTCTTGGAAATTTCTTCCACTTTCTTCTCCTCCTTGGAAGGTACTTCCAGTTTCTTCTCCTCCTTGGAAACTACTTCCACTTTCTTCTCCTCCTTAGAAGCTTCGTCCACTTTCTTCTCCTCCTTAGAAGCTTCGTCCACTTTCTTCTCCTTGGAAAGTTCTTCATCTTTCGTGGGATCAAGATCCGGGGGAGGTACCGATTTGTCCGAAGGTATCTGCTCTTCTTTCTTATCCTTAGTTATATCTTCTGTAACATTAGACTTAGAAGCAGAACCCTCTTCAGTCTTGGCTGATTCCTCTGACTTTTCTGCAGGCTCTTTATCGGTTTCATCTGCCTTTGGCTGTTCCTTCACCTCTGGTTCTACTTTTTCCTTCGGTTTCTGTTCACTAGGTTCAACTACCTTAGGTGCATCCACAACTTCTTCCTCGTCAACATGAGGCTTCTTAGTGGAAGGTTCAGTAGTTTGCGATTCCTCATCCTGCGAATGACGGCGTTTTGCTGAACTTGTTGGTTGTTCCATTTGCTCTTCAGTTGAAGCACCATTCGCCGTAGGTTCCGTAGAAGAAACGTCTAGGGGAGCCTTATCACCATCAACTTCCATCTTCTCTTCTACCTTCTCCTTGGACACTTCTTCCTGCAGTAAATCCGCTTCGTTTTCCTTGTCCAAACCATTCTGATGGTTCGTTTCAATGGGCTCTCCAGCTGCTTCGTCTTTCTTCTTCTCTGGAGCAGCATCTTTTGCAGTCGTAGTCTCATCTTCACCTTTCTCCAGTGCTTCCAACCTCTGAATGAGATCGTCGTTCTCCATGTCGACATCGTTTGTCGAAGCCGAAGCACCAGATGGTTTGGCCGCAGCGTCGCTGGAATCGGTGTCGATCTTGTCTAACCGTTCCAGCAAATCATCCTTCTCGAGAGGAACATCCAAAGCCGGTCCATCTCCGCCTCCTTTGAGAGATGCGGCCGATTTCAACTCGTCCGCCAACTTCTCCTTTAGAACAGTCGGGTCTTTCGGCTCACCTGAGGTTGAACCTGTGGGTGGAATGAAAATGAGAGTTATGATTACACATTCGGAATATCGTATTGCTGTTTGTCAAAGATGGAATTTTTCGGCAAACTCAAAGCTCTCCTCGAGTGGACAATTCGATCATATTTAGACGTTCTTTTTTCCCCCCTCACTAAGGCTAATATGGTTGCATTCCCTCATGGTTTGGGGTATTCTAACAAACGTCAGCAACGAAAATTGGCCAGTCTTAGACGAGCTCCCGACCGAACATCTTAAACGTGCTGTGAGTATTCTACTTGAGCTTGAGTGATCGCACATATCGTAGTTGCTACTCCATGAGTGACAAAGCTAACAACATTGCACAATGAACCAAATAGCTGAGGATTCTCAATGCACAAGTTTTGGATGCTCATTACTTTTTATTTTGAGTTGGATAATTGTTGCTACTAGAGACCAAGCTTGCCTCTGCTTGTTTTGTTAGTAGGAATGGTAAATAAGATCTTGATTCGCCATGGCAAATGGCAAGTGATGTGATCGTTCAACCACAGACAAACAGACATAACACTCGCAAGCTGTTCATCGAACAAGCATTTAACGGTCAATTTAAAAGTATCGTAGTTGGTAGTACCGCCACCTGTGGCGCGCATAGTCAATTCCTTTGCGTTTGACGTTTACACACTACCGCCATCTGTTCAGCGTACTACCCACCACAGTGTACTCAACAGATGGCGGTAATGTTTTAGGGACGATATTTTACATTGAGAAATATTCAATGTGTTATGTCTGTTTGTCTGTGGTTCAACTGTATACTCAAAAGGAGCTTAGGAACGAACCCATGATTGTCTGCTCAGTAAGCAAAAACGATCACCCTATTGGTCACCGAGCTCCTTATATATATATACAATCGAATTTCGCTCGTTGGTCTATCTTTAAGTGGACTGCGTTTTAGTTGGGCTGTAGCCCATCTAAACCGAAGTCAAACGTCATTTCTGACAGTGCTAATTCCTTTCCAAAGGGCTCATGCATGAACAATTTGGATAGTTGCTAAACGATTGGGATAATAATCAATCGGTGTATTCCTCAACCAATTTTCCGCTTTGAGCAACTAACAAAAGCCTTTCATTAAGAGGAACTGTGGGTTTAGCGAAAGTTGACTACCTGAAGTGCCATAATAACACGCGTCGCCTTATTCCGCGCATTTGTTCAACAATTTGTAGTGTATTGTACTATTTTTTAAATTTATATTTTTTCCATACACTTGTACGTAATACCTATTCGAATTTCTATCTTATTTCAAAATATCCTTATTAAAAATTTGGTTTGAATTTTTCAAAAAAGCACGGTATTAGGGACTTAGGTGCACGAAATTACGGTACTTCAAGGTATATACATATATAAAAACATCATCAACAGTAAACTTTCGCTATTGATGCGATCGTTCAGCTCTTTACTAATAACAAGAGAGCTTGGGAATAAACCCATGATTTTCTTCTCAGTTAGCAAAACCGTTCACCTTAAGGGACACCTAGCTCCTTAAAAAACAAACTTCGTTAACTTGTTCGATTGTTCAACTCTTTTCTAATCACAGAGTTTTCTTTTTTAAACTTTATTTTTGAGATTTTTAGCCGTAGGCTAGTTCATCTCCTCCATGAAAGGTGGGGCCTCAGAAGGAGGACCCCAACAGAGTAGTTTTTTACAGTGTTTACTTCAACCGACATATATTAAAGACACAACATTAAAATCTGAATAAGACGGAGCTCCACACCGGGAAGGCCCCCACCAGGTAGAGATGTCGCAACAGCCGAAAGGAATTAAAAAGACTAAACTTCCAGCATGCTATTTGGTAGCCCGTGGAATTCCCGCAGGTTCTGATACAGAGGACATACGCATAGAATGTGCTCGATTGAGGCTGGAGTTCTACAACCGACCGGTCCTCAAACGAGACGCTATCTTCTGATCCCGCTGGTTCAACTGTTCTGTCCATCTCCTCGTCGTCCCTTTGATCCGTCTGATGAAGAGGGAGCGGTTTTGGGCCCACTCTGCGTCCCAAGCTTCCCGTACTTTGCTCACGATCCAGCGCTTGACATCGTGTAACGGTACTTCGTTGGTATAGCGAGGGGTAGATGGTCCAGCCCCAGCGTCAGCCCCAGTCAGCTTCAGAGTTGCCTGGTATTTCGCAGTGCCCGGAATCCAGCAGAATACCGTGTTTGGTGGCGCGGACTTCATCGTCGCCTGTACCCAGGGATGAGTCGGGGCCTCGGATGTCAGGGCTTATATAACGCTGTGCGAATCCGTGAGGACCAGGATTGGTCGGTTGGAGAGCGTTGTAGCAGCGATGAAGACGGCAGCAGCTTCAGCAGAGAAGACAGCACATAGCGGCGGTAAGCTGCAGCTGATTGGTGTGATGTTTCCGACTAGACCGAGATCCGTCCGTGTATCGGTGAGTGTGCGTGGGGTATTTTTCTTCTAACATTTCAGCTACAGTCCTTTTCATGGCCACGGAATTGTCTCCGGTTTTGAACCTGTCCTGAATCCGGATTTCGATTTTCGGTAATGGTGTTTGCCAGCATTTGTCTCCATGCCAGTGGACCCTGGCCACTGGGGGAGATCTTCATTGGCAGCCGTGCGGAGGAGTCTGTTCCCCTCGTCGAGGAGGAAGATTCCTTGATTTCCGGATGTCTTCGAGATGAAAGCAATGGCTTTGGTTGCGATAGCTGCGGTTGTACGGAAGCGGAAAGGCGTCAGCGGGCGTGGATGGCAGCAGGCCAGACACAATCCGGACGTAGGTGTTGTAGATTGGTGCTAACGTAGCTAAAAGCTTATCCGTTGCGATGCAGGTCATCTCCAGCCCGTATAGAAGGCGACTGTCGATAATTCTAGATAGAGCTGGAATTAGGGCGTAACGGCTTTTGTAAACAATGACTTCTCTCGATGATTTCTCGGAAGTCATGGCTCTCCCTGGCAAATCGACATCACCATCGAGCAGAGGAAGACTTTTTCTACCCGATGGATATGTTGGTTTGTCTAGGCGTGTCTTGAATTCTATTCTGTCGGGAAATGGTCCGCATGAGATTCACTCGGCTGCGGCAAATTTTCTTGACTGCACTGAATACTGTTCAAAGTTGAGGAATCGGTCAACGAGAACTCCCAGAACTCGGACGGTCTTCTTCAGTGGTATGGACTGGTCGTCGATTTTGATCGGTGGTCCGCAAATTTTGTGTCGAGAAGGGCAGACATGGCACCTGATGCTTTTAGAGGCTGTTAATTCAAAGCCTACGACGGCGGAGACTGCCGCTTGGGTTCTTATCCTTGTACGTACTGGCGTGGGTCCGGTGGTGACGATGAGGATGTCGTCGGCGTGTTTTTCGGTAGATGACGGAAGACTCCGACTCGGAATGAGCGTTCTTGAGAACTTCCCCTAGGGTTGCGAAATGGGTGGACGAACCTTGTCGGAAAGCGTGCTGTCGGTGATCAAGGAAATTTCCAGCTTCAAGGAGATTGGGAATAAACCCATGATTTTCTGCTCAGTAAGCAAAAAACCATCACCCAGATGATGAGGATTGCGCATTGTAGTCGAAATACGTATCTGTTATAGATACCAAAATTAATTATGTGGAATTTAATGGAAGATAACCTTTTTTGCTGTTTTATTTAAGCATTCCGCTAACAACCGCACTGAACTGTACTGGGTAATTGCCAAGATTTGGGAGGAGGAGATATTACCGGAGGAGTGTATAGAAGGCTTTCTATGTCCAATCTACAAAAAAGGCGACTGCAGTTGGACTGCTGCAACTACCGCACGATCACACTGCTGAGCGCCACCTACAAGGTACTCTCCTAAATTCTATGTCGCCGCCTGTCACCATTGGCAAGAGGGTTCGTGGGGCAATACCAAGCGGGATTCATGGATGTCCGCGCTACCACGGACCAAATTTTCGCGATTCGGCAGGTTCTGCAGAAATACCGCGAATACAACGTGCCCACACATCATTTGTTCATCGATCGAGATCAGATTATGCACGAGTACGGATTTCCGGATTAACTGAAGCGATTGGTCAAGGCAACGATGGATCAAGTGATGTGCGTTGTTCGAGTATCGGGAGCACTCTCGAGGCCCTTTGAATCTCGAAGGGGGTTACGGCACGGTGTTAGACTTTCTTGTCTGCTATTTAACATCGTGATGGTGTGATCAGAAGAGCTGGCATAGACACGAGTTACACGATCTTCATGAAGTCCATCCAGATTCTTGGCTTCACCGATGACATCGACATCATGGCACGGAACTTTGAGACGAAAGCGGAAACGTACATCAGACTGAAGGCTGAAGCTAGGCGGATTGAATTTGCCATCAACACATCGAAGACTAAGTACATGAGAGGAAGGGGTTCTAGGGAAGACAATGTTAGCCTCCCACCCCGAGTTCAGATTGACGGTGACGAAATCGAGGTGATCGATGAGTTCGTGTATTTGGGCTCACTGGTGACCGCCGAAAATGATACCAGCAGAAAAATTCAAAGACGGATTATGACAGGGAATCGTGCCTACTTTGGACTCCGGAGGACGCTCCGGTCGAATAAAATTCGCCGCCGCACGAAGTTGACTGTCTACAAGACGCTGATTAGACCGGTGGTCCTCTACGGCCACGAGACCTGGACTATGCTCGTGGAGGACCAACGCGCCCTTGGTGTTTTCGAACGGAAGGTGTTGCGTACCATCTACGGTGGAGTGCAGATGGATGACGGAACGTGGAGGAGGCGAATGAACCACGAACTGCACCAGCTGCTGGGAGAACCATCCATCGTCCACATTGCAAAAATTGGGCGACTACGGTGGGCTGGGCACGTCGTAAGAATGCCGCACGACGACCCAGTGAAAATGGTTCTAGAAAGCGACCTAACAGGAACAAGGCGCGCAGCGGGCAAGGTGGATCGAGCAAGTAGAAGGCAACCTGCGGACCCTTCGCAGACTACGAGGCTGGCGAATTGTGGCCGTGGATCGAGTAGAGTCGAGACGACTTCTTCGGAAAGTAGAGGCCAACAAAGCCTCAGCCTGATTGGTAGGTGGTAAGAAACATTTTAAATCTGTACAATTTTTTTGAAATGCTGGACTTGAAAATAATTGTACTTGATGAAATTTTCAAGATCCTATTTCCTATGTATTTTCCAAGAGCACAGATTTAAACAACATCAAAATTAAGGACCTCATAAAATTGGATGATATTTTCTAAGGAACTCATTCCAGGGGGGTTCTGGGAAGAACTGTGAGGAAAACGTCAAGTACAATCTACTTTCAAGGTAGTCCTGATGAACTGCAGATTCTATGCAAAACCTGAATACCAAGGTAGTTCTGATTTCTGATAAAACCTGAAAAGGATTCGAAAGATATTTGAAGTTAATACGTAAGGAATTCTGAAGAGGACTCAAAGGAAGTTCGGAGAAGTTTCCATAGAGAGGGTCTATGTCCGGAGCCTGCGGGGTTGTCGTCGTCGTTTGTCATGTAATTTAAAGAGCTGGTGCCGTCGTTCGTCCATTGTCGTGTCATTATTTGTCGCGGGGTTCTACGTAGGTTGGTAATAGCTAAGACACCGGCTCGAGGAAGTCGAGAAGTGAGCCTGGGTCATTGGGTAATGCGACTCTGATGTTGGGACCGATATTGGTCTCGGAGATGCAGGACAATTTATTATGAGATGCTCAACTGACATTGTTTGTGGAATCCATCACGGGATCCGAGATCGTGTGAAAATCTAGTGTAGCCGCAGTGTAATCTGGACAGTACTCTCTGGTCCTTCCAGTTTTTGATGTCGAACTAGTAATTCGTAAGGGTCTCGAGTATTAGCCCATTCAGTGTCCCATGCCGAAGCAATGATCGTTTTGATCCACATTTTTAAATCAGCTGCAGGTACTTCCGGTTTCGCTGGGGTTTTCGATCTGCCGTTCGCTGCCAACTTGCCCGCAGTCTCGTTTCCAGCGATACCACAGTGGCTGGGAATCCAGACATATACGGTGTTACCATAGAGGTAACTCTAAGACCTGAAGGTCCCGAAGAAACGTACTCAACTTTGTGGCTCAGCTCTGGTACTCTCTTCGGTCCCAAGCTAATCGATGCACCCCTCGAAACATAGGAAAATCCACGAACCCCATCGGTCAAACTTTCATAGCGAATCAAAACAAACATAGTATAGTACTAGAATTTCGACTAGAATGGGGTATGTTAATCGTTTGCTTGGGACCAATAGGCTAGTCAAGTAGTGAGCCAATTTAAAATCGTTAGTTTCCAGCGGTTGGTGTTACTGTGCGAAGCCATTTAAATTGCTTGCACCAACGGGTGCAGGTTCTTCGGACTCTCAAGGACCTTCAGCACACTGAATCGGTAATGCTGGACTCCGTAACGGGCGAGAAGATGGCAACTGCCTTAACTGAGAAAATCGGCGTAGGCTTAAGGAAGGGCTCTGCTGGTATCTAGGTTGGAGCCGAATACACCATAGCCGACTTCGCTTATTTTTTTCGAACCATCCGAATAGATGAACTCGTAGCCATTCAGCGTTGTTCTAATGAGCTCGTTGAAGCGCGGGACCACAGTTTTCTTTGGTTGGTTTATTTAATGCCCATATGATCTTAGGTGGAGAGTAGTCCCATACTTCGACTCAGAACCAGTGGGGGAGGTTCTGGTGGGTGAAATCTTTGCTTCTTTGAGGAGGAACACTCCATCGTTGTCTCCGGTCGTCTTCTCCAAGAAACTGGTGACTTTGGAACATACGGCTTTTACGAATATATATCGGAATGGGAGGATTCCAGCCTCGACACACGTGACTGCTGCAGGAATGCAAGGGAGAAGCCCGGACACACTGCGGCTATTTCGAAATTTCTACACAGTAGCTCGGCGCCGTAGAGCAGTTTGCTACAAATGATTGCCTTCATGATACGCAGTCCAACGCTACGGTTAGTGTTGGTGTGCTTGCTGGTGATAATTCGTAACAGGTTCAGTCGACGTTCCCATTGCTTTATTATCCGGTCGCAGTGCAGCTGAAAACTCAGGTGACGGTTTAGATATACTCCGAGAACGTGGCCTCGAAAGGTATTTCTCCTCCTCCGATTTTGGGGGGTTCCTTTTAGCTCGGTGGTTTCCTAAGCACAGGTGAGAGAATTGACTCTTGGATGGTGATAGTTTAAATCCGACGGATGATGCCCAAGCATGCACTGTCTCGATGTTGCTTTGGAGTTTCCTGCGGATCAGGGTCGGTCTATGTCCTTTGGCGAGAACGACGATGTCATTCGCTAACACAAAAATGAACACGACTTTTGGTAAGCATTCGAAGACTACGTTCATGGCGATGAGGAAGAGGGCTACCGCCAGCACGGAGCCTTGATTTTGTAATTGCAATCATGTTCCGGTGATAATTTTTAGGGAATTCAAAGGAGTGTTCCAAGGGAATTGTGAGGAACATTTCAAATAATTTCACATTGCAAAAATTGGGCGACTACGGTGGGCTGGGCACGTCGTAAGAATGCCGCACGACGACCCAGTAAAGTTCTAGAAAGCGACCCAATAGGAACAAGAAGAAAAGGCGCGCGACGGGCAAGGTGGATCGACCAAGTAGAAGGCGACCTGCGGACCCTTCGCAGACTACGAAGCTGGCGAAGTGTGGCCATGGATCGAGTAGACTACTTCTTCGGACAGTAGATGACAACAAGGCCCTAGCCTGATTGGTAAGGTAAGTACGGTAAGTAGTTCAAATAATTTATGTCATGAGCAAAACTAATTTCAATTCTTAGATATATTCCATCCTGTTAGGACAATACAATACAAATAATACTGAGGAATGAATGTGAGGAGTGAATTATCCGGAGAAATCTCCGGGGAATTTCTAGGCAATACTACAAAATTTATTAATAATTTAAGATCATTGCAGAATGAATTCAAAGAGTTTTCGGCAGATGATTTTCAAGAGTATTATGGAGCAAATTATATAAAAGTACCAGAAAGAGCAATTTCGTCAGATTTTTATTTCGAGCATCCAGTATTTGGAAAAAAAAAAAAATAATAAATATTTAAAAGCTAAGGTGATACTCTAAGGAAGCCTAAGCGTGAAACTTCAAAGGCACAAATGTCAGCCTGCACAAAACATACAAATTTGAAATTGCTACTCTCTGTTTGTAGTAGTACAGTAAACAAGGAGTAGCAATTTCAAATTTGTATGTTTTGAGGATGCTGACATTTGTGCATTTAAAGTTTCACGCTAAGGCTTAGATATAGAAAAATCTTCAAGACTCAGGTAGTTTTATTTTAAAATATTCCGGACAAGGAGAATTTCCAAGATTTTGGGTCGTCCAAATGATTAGAACAAACTTCCAAGCGATTAAGCTCTTAAAAACATAACTATGGGAGGAAGCCCGTCAAAATTTAATCAAATCTGGACTAAATCACCAATCGGACTAATGGCCGGGGCGTTAGTGCCACATCCAGAAAATACCAGAACCTTTGATATCTTGATAAATTAAATTTCAGGAAGTGGGGCCTTATTGTCTGGCTCAATATTATAAATTAACTACTCAGAACTTCCATACATGGATTCTTGGACCATTTTTTGAATTCATTTGAGTAAAAATACCCCCATAAACAATAGCCATAAGAAGCGCCTAACCACCAATTCGGGGTATAATCTCAAGTTGATGTGGTATGGTTGTACCATCTATGAGATTGTTTATTAGGGTAAGGTTATATATTCCAGTGAATGGGGTATTTCGATATTATTATTGAAATTATAGACGGTAAACAACATATTTTGATTAGTCTTTAATTCGAAATTTCTTGATGGTCCCTTCAATATCGAGTCATGGAGAGTTGACTGTAAAGTGAACCCTACACGATTGCTTTTATTGACAATAATCGTATTGTCAATACATTCTATATTGACGTCAATACATGGAGATTGACAATATTTCTAAATTCACATCATCAATATTATTGTCAATAATTCCCCTTCGCGTCAATATATTGATGCGTGTGGGGTTTGCTTAAAGCAAACCCCACACGTATCAATATATTGACGCGAAGGGGAATTATTGACATTAATATTGATGATGTGAATACAGAAATATTGTCAATACCGATGTATTGACGTCAATATTGAATGTATTGACAATACGATTATTGTCAATAAAAGCAATCGTGTACGGTCCACATAAGACATCGCATATTTAATATAATATTGCGCATTTCACACCAAACTGGACAGAGCGTGTTTTGTGTTGTGATAAAAGGGCGAGTTATCCTCGAATCGTCTTGGTGTCTTCGGTGCACTTATTCCTTATATGCAAGCAATAAATACTCCGAAGACACTAAAACGATTTAAAGGAAACGTGCACTTTTAGCTTATTTGGGGAAGTTAAGACTCAGATGCAATCAGCAATAAATAATTCACTATAATAAACACATAGACAAAGCGCAATTCTGAGCAATCTTTCATGCCCGAACAACAATATGGAAAGTGCTGTACATAAGGAAAAAAAAAACAACGCACTCACCCCCCGGTTCGTTCCAAAAATCTACAAGCAGAACGAAGAGTGTACACATCGAACGCACACACAGATGAACGCGGATGGGTATCACAAATAAAAACAGAAAACGAGATTAATCGGAAAGAAGCTACCTTGCGATGGTATTGGTACCATCAGCAGCAGCAGCCAGCACTCCAGAAGTGGCAGCAGAGCAGAAGCAAGAAGCATCGTCACCACACACAGTTCGTTGTCAAGATTTTTGCAGAAGCTGCTGCAGCCAAAGAACGAGGAAGAAGAAAAATGCCCACCGAAGGTGTACGTCGAAAAAAAAAAAGATTACCTGTTGACCCCACTTCACCCGACCGAGCCATCTCCGCTCAGTAAAAGTTCCGCCGAGGCCGAGGATGACAGCCGTCTGAGGAAATTTTACGCACTTCGCAGAATGCGTTCTTCGAAAATTGATGAAAAACCTGCGTAAACGATTCGACCCCGCTACTCACCATTGTTGGATGAAACGGCAACCTCTGCCAGGTTTGATTCCGCATCCATTTTTCCTCCGCTATAACGCTATACAACACTTTTTCGCTTTCCTTCGCTTCTCTTCTGTAATGCCGCGTTGTCTCACTCACTCCCGGTGGCGTTTGGCTGGCGGTTCGTCCCTTTTCCACTTTCTACGGCGCGGACGGGTGTGCGTTGCTTCTGCTTCTCCGTTACCTATCCCACCTCCCGCTTCACACGGAATATTTCACACCAGAAATCCAACCAAAGAGAAAGATGTCCAGGCAGCTCTTCTTCCTCGAAGTGGAGTACAAAAACTTTTGCCGTCACTTTTCACTGCCAAATTCCACTTTCACCGGGTACTTTTCTTCGTTTTCACACGCGCAACGATCGATTCCACAGTTTTTTACCGGTTTCAGTTGGAAATTACGCGAAAAACACGACTAATTTCTGTTTCGCCGAGCCCGATCGAGTCGCTGTACTTTTTCAATGCACGCGAGCCAGCGTTGCCAAGAGCGATGTTCTGTGCGGCGGGTAACAGCTTTGACAGCAGGGATGCGTTACGTGACAGTGGAGTTAGGTAGACAGAAAAAGTCGTATTTCTGACATGGAGCGAAGCATTGAACAATGGCAGAAAATTTAAAGAAAATATTGGAGCAGATTGTACCTCAGTACTTGTCTGATTTCAGTGGTTTCAATGAGCTGCTGTATGATTTATATGAAAATTTTAATGAAGCCACTGTCTAATGAGAAATAAATGTTACAACCAACACTGCGTCGAAGCCGCCATCCAAGATGGACGTCTGATGTGCAAATCTTGATCGGTGCCGCAAATGGGAGAAATTTTCTTGAATCGAGGCGTTACGGATTGCGCTCGTTGATGTGTTGGTGTGAAGGGAAGTGTGAAGCTTTCATGGTGTCAGTGTTGCCGAATAATGTGATTCAAATGGACGAGTGCACGCTACTGTGTTACCTGACTTATAACGAATATACGTTGTATACGAGCGATGTCAATCATACAAGGTCTGGAGCAACAGGCAGCTTGCTGGTGTTAGAAGCAAAAATGTTGTAAACATTGCTGAGCAAGCGAATGACGATGTCACGGCAGCACAACATTCCATACTGCGTATGGCAGACGTGTCGTCACAGAAAACAGCTGTTTCGTGTAAAAATATAAAAATTGCGATGAAATACGAACACCACTAAACTTTTCCACATTTCACTAATACCAATAAGCCGGTTGGGCCAGACCTTGTATAATTGACATCGGTATACGAGTACCCCGAATACAACGTATGATTCGTCTAATTTTGCATAGCATTTGCGATGTTAAATTAGACGAACTATATGTTGTATTCGGGGTACTCGTATACAACGTATATTTGTTATAAGTCAGGTAACACAGTAGGGACATCCCACTCTAAACTTAAGTTCAAATATCATAAAATATTTTTAAATATCTCATAAGACTTCCCTTATAAGCGGGTACCATACACAAACGATATCATAGCTGGTTGTTTATGCGGGTTAGTGTTCTTAAGTATTTTTAAGTACTTTTAAATCTTGTCTTATTACCATCATAGTGACCGGTTGCTCATCCATCCTCGTCGCCAGTTGATATGTCAGGATCTTAGTGAAAACTAGAAATACTCAGTGGGAGAGATGGGCGGAGATAGAGTCGGTGTATAATGAGTCACGCCAATGAAGCCAAGTCTACCTATTGAACTGTCAAACCGGCTACCTATCGTGCAAAGTAAACAAGCATTACGATGCTATGAAAGGTCCACGAAAGGTATTGCAATTAATTATTAAATATAACCGAAGAAATGATCATATACACGCAGTGAGCATTACATTTGTCATGCGATACGTTTTGTAATGATCAGTAATGACAATTTCTACTATTTTTCCTTAAGATAATTCCACAAAATTACTGATATAATGATATACTACAGCCGTTATTTTTTTTCCTCGCTAGAAGTCATTTGAAGTTGATGCAGAAGTCCTCTGTTGCCAAGTTAAAAGAAAGGGAATCTTTCGAAAACCATGATGCGAGTTCAACTGTTTTTCTCTTGGCGTGACTCATTATACACCGACTCTAGGCGGAGAGAATGTTTTGAGCCAAATGAACTGCTAAAATCCGACCCAATCGAACATTCCCATTAGATTTTGTCCGAGGATTTCTTATTCGTATTAGATTAATTTTAAGAGTATTGCAATCGAACAGAAATTCAATCACCTTTATGTTTCGTATGCTTCTCAAATTTAACTAAGTAGTTTTTGCAATCAAAAACAATATTCTAACTCTATTGATTAATTGATCTTAGTTGGTTAATTAATGGCACCAAGAAATGTGCAAAATATTGCGATGCAATCAATTATTATTTTGCACGTAAATCGAATCAAAAATAAAAGTCATGTGAAATGCTGGCTTCTAGCAAGGGTTGTAAGATATTTTAGGTACAAATCCCTGCTGCCGAATTGTACTTTGTTTTCTCCGCCTATCTCTCCCTCTGAGTATTTCTAGTGAAAACACAGTGGATAACTTCGATAACTTATTCGTGAGGCATGGAAGAATAAACCATTAAGCTGGGTTTAGACAGGGCAAGTCAATTGATCAAGTCAGTTGAATTCTACTGACTTGAACGCGAATTGAAAGTGTAAACCATACCATTCAACTGACTTGATCAACTCACTTGAATTGAAAAAAGTTGAACCAGGCTCAACTTTTCAAGCCAATTGAATTCAACTGAGTTGATCATTTGACTTGCCTAGTCTAAACCCAGCTTTATTCTTTCGATGAGGTATTCCCTCTTAGGTCGACAGGCCTTGACACCAAGCTTGACACCACGCAGTTGTTTGTTGTTGTCTGTCGATTTGTTACTTTTCGTCACGTATAAAATTAATAAGGCCAAAACCAAGCGTATGTACAACGTCAATGCAGTTGCGCTATACGACAAGCTGCACGAATATGAAAAGGAGAAGCTCTTAATTACGGCTACGATGGTCATTTACAGGTGAGCTATGTGTGGTATGCACCAGCCTATAAAATGATAGCCCAACATGTATCAGCCTAATGCGTGAGTGACAACAGCTCAGTCACTCAGCGCTCACCAGCTAGCTCACACGAAGGCACTGCTGTACAGTCGTACCGCCATCGCAGTCATCATTGACGAGTGAACCTTCTTTGAGGTAAGTTGAGTGTGTGCCTACTGCTGCGTGTTGGGTGATTCCTAGCGAATGGCGGAACTGCACATTGGCGACCGTTTCAGGTATTTTACTGCTTGTTATTTAGCAGCAAAAGTAAGTATAATTGTCTCTTTGGGAATCACCCAATGTGTGGCGGTAGAGAAATTCAACAAAAAAAAAGAGTAAATCAGCAAAAAAAAAAAAAAATGGTTGCCGTGTGATGCAGCTGCGAGGGGCGCTATTGCGCCATTGTGTTTTTTTTTGTTCGTGTTCATAGTGTGTTTAATCATGATTTGTAGTGGTGTGATGATAATTGCTCGGGACGAGCACGGACCATAATTTGGTGATAAAAATAAGAACACGAGGAAGACAGTTTGAGGTTTTTCGCCGAACTATTGTGGAAGTGCAATAGCTCGGGAGGAGCATTAACCAGTGAACTAGCTCGGGACGAGCACTGATAAAGGTGATTGATAGTTCGGGACGAACAAATTGCATTTAGCTCGGGACGAGCACTGAAATTGTTTGAAAGCTCGGGACGAGCACTGGATTTGTTTGATAGCTCGGGACGAGCACTGAAATTGTTTGAAAGCTCGGGACGAGCACTGAATTTGTTTGATAGCTCGGGACGAGTATATATAACGTTGTATGCTGAGTTATTGATTGTTGGGAAATTTTTACTAGCTGAATTGAAGCCATTGAGAAAAAAAAACATAGCAATAAATTAAATGTGGGCTGGACGCTAACAGCACAATTGTGCTTATCCGTTTGTTTTTCAGATAAGTTTTACATCTACCTCGCGAAGAATTTTTTGGTGCTGTGCAAGTCACAATGTCAAGCCCGGGTAAATATGTTCGTGCTCCGGCTTTTGAAAACAACAGGGAGAGTTCAGAAGAATCAGAAAGCTATGTGTCCAGCCCTGGAAGGTTTGTGCGAGTTACCAATTCTGATGCAGCCCACATAAGTTACATTGGTGACACACATGATGAGCTTTACGCCGACTATTACACTTCAGTAGATCCGGATAAGGAAACGCGAGAATTGCGGAAAAGAATATTTGAACTGGAGAAGACTATTGCTGAAATCGCTGGTTCCGGCTTGCGTAATCACGAAGATAATCATCGTTCTGAAGCAATTCATAGCTCTGAAGGACCAGCATTAGCACCAACCTTGACATCAACCGTAATGCAAACTGGTAGCAGTACGCAAAGCATCAGATGGGACAACATCAAACCGTTCCCGAAAGGCGTTTCTGCTAACAAACTGTGGGAAGCTTGGATAAAATACTTCGAGAACTTCGAGTTGGCAGCTTCATTGGCTAATGCAGATGACCCGGTGAAGCGATACCAAATGCTATACTTATCCATTGGAGATGAGCTTAAAGGAATTGTCCGTGCGGCCAAGTTGCGTCCTGACTCGAATGGTCCCAGTTGCTATGCGATTTTCGTTAAAAACATTGAGAACTACTTGAAGTCATTAACTGATACCTCGGCCGAGCATGACATGTTTTCGTCTATGCAACAGGAGAAAGGAGAATCGGCAGTTAACTTCCATGCCAGGTTAATTTGAAAAGCTTTTAAAACAATATGTTTCAATTATATAATGATGTCTTAATTTGTCAGGTTGATGGAAAAAGTATGGCTTTGTGGTTACAGTACATCCGACCAAGAGCGTTTTGTTCGAACGCAACTGCTGAAAGGATTAAGGAATCGTGCATTAGCTAATGCAGCAAGAACGTATGGACATGATACAAACTTTGTTGTTCAGTCAGCTACGCGAGATGAAGCTTTACAGCCCGAGTCTCCATCACTCGAGGATCCGACATCCATCATGGCTGTATCCCGTAGTTTTTCTCGTGGCGTGGGAATGAAGCGTAAACAAAGTAATGGCAATGATACAGGTCCTGGTTTCAGACCAAACCAATTTCGAGGAGAAACTAAGCTTCCATTACAACGTTATGAACGGTGTTCAAGATGTAATCGGGCTGTCCATGGTGGTCTACGGTGTCCAGCGTTGGACAGAAATTGTAACTCCTGTGGACGCCGCGGCCATTTTGCTGCAACCTGCCGTATGAAACGAGTCAACAATGTAGAGGGCAGTCGATATAAATCCGATTCTATGGTGGAAGATAATAAGGCACAGGTAACAACCGATACATTCTAATAAAAAAAAATATGCAGAAAATATAACAGAATATCATGTTTTCGCAAATTATGGTTTTTCATTCAACGAGGGATTCATTTTCATTTTTCAGCAAATCAACGCACTTTCGCTTGGAGACGTGATGGTTGATTGTACCGTTGGCTCATCAAATCCAATAA